ATTGTTGCTGTTTCGATTTTCCGTGAAATTTTACCATAACTTCTCATCGTTTAAACCTTCCCTGGACTGCCACAAATAATTCAAAACCAAAATTAGCCAAATCGGCCCTGCCGTTCTCGAGTTTTACGCCACAATATATATATATATATATATCAAAACCAAAATTTTAGCCAAATCGGCCCTAAAATTGTTCTTTTGCTAGTTTTAGCGAGACTAACAAACAACAATTGATTTATATATATATATATATATATATATATACTAGCAACGCTCGTATTATTCCAGAATTCAAACTTGTATAGTAAATGACCTCAAAGAAACATTTTGACAATTTTAGCAAATGAAATTTTAGCGAGACTAACGAACAGCAATTAATTTTTATGTATATAGGTAGATTGATGGTACAATGTTCGTATATTTCGATCTCCCAAAGAAAGAAATTAAATTATTTTTTAGTTTTTTCACTTTTAAATTGATTGACTGTTAATTGATTGATATTGATTGAGCCTGAATATTATTAAGGCTCAATAACAACATATATTCATATTTCATAAGGGGACAATACATTATTATGCATTTCAAAAATTATATATCAGAAATTTTACGTTACATAGCAAATCTATCTGGTAAAACTCTATAGAAAAAAAAAAAATTATTTACCAAGAAAAAGGACGCACATATCTAATGAATAAACTAAATTCAACAAATATTATAGTTATATCCCGACTTTTAACAACCTTTCTTATTAAAGAATTGCTTTCTTACCCATAAATGATTGATAAGTCCTTAAAACATTTTCATTCTTTATATCACTTTATGTTTTTATGACTCTAATTTCGGGTGTCAAGTGCTACGGGCATTATAGCGTCAGTAAGCCGTATCGGTACACTAACGTCGTAAACATTCATAACATACTAAATACCATAGCTCAAAAAAAAAGTACAGCTGTGCAAACAAGTTATTTAAAAGAGATACCTACTGTATCAATGACTTGTTGCCTATCAACAATATTCATGATTCATCGTTATTTGTATGACACTACACGTGATTTAAAAGTGTGCATATTAAACTGTCGTAAAACTGTCCAAGTTATTCACCGCTGCCGTTAAACAATTTGCAATTTTTGTTTTATCTATACATATTTAAGTATCGTCTTCGTCTCTGTAAACGCAAACGTTTCTCATGAATAACCGCAAATGAGTGCGTGAAAGAGCGTCGGACTGGCTATATAGTCAAACTGGCGTTTCTCGGCTCCTGTGCGGGCAACCCACAGTTTAGCGCAAGTCGGGCGGCCCGCCCAGACTACGTGTAAAATCTATACGAACTATTCATATTTTAATTATTCATATGTGAACTATTCATATATGAACTATGCATAAATAGATATAAGTCCACATCAAGCTAAACTAGAAATCGTCAAAGAATGCAGCGAGATGTTTATCTCAATGAGGGTTTTGTCAGGATGTTGCCGACGTTCAGGCTGTTTAAAATTATTTAAATTAAATAACGGACATAGTTTTATGCAGAAATCAACAGAGGCTTCTCGGTGTTAAGCTCGTGTAACCCAAGAATTAGCCAATAGGAAGTATAGGTCTTTAAGTAAAACTAAGTGACGAAATGCCGAAGTGAATTGTCACGCGTGGTTACGCACATATTTTCAATTAATTATTGGAAGGTGTGAAATTACAACTTGGCGACTACCTGTAATGTACAGGTAGTCGCCAAGAATGAATCACATTCATTCATGAATCATTTAAGCGCACATCTTTATGGGTGAATAAAATTTGAGAATTAACAGCGAGACAGGTCAGGTTGTCGTCGATGATCAATTTATTTTTCTTTCTTCGACTTTTTTTTTCTTCGATCGAAGTTCCCTTTCGACTTTTCACAGGGGCATTACATAGAAATTTGATTTTTCATTTCTAGTGCTAGTTCCTGCACTTGCAAAATTTGTGTAGATGATAGTGAAAAAAATTTTCCGCTGCTTCCAGGATACGAACTGCCCCATCCCCCAGTCCAGACGCTCTAAACGCTAAGTTCAATATCCTCACCGCGCTAATAACTAGAACGTCGTATCTATTTTATTGCATTTTTAGCAATGCATGGTGCCTTCTGGTGTACTTCACTTAACGCAAACGCACTTTCTCAAATGACATTTGTTTAATGAATATTTGTAAATTAGAGATGTCGCTTTGACTATAGAATTTTTTAAGACAATTATCTATACATTTTGAGACATTACATTCGTTGTAATTTTCATCACGTCCACCATTGTTATCACAAATTACTAGTGATAGTTCATTAATCACCAGGTAAATAAGCTTGCATGTTTGCAACCCACTTAAAAAAACTACCTCCAAAGAAAATGTAAAACTTAATCTACAATATTCGCAAAAATTCAAACGTTTTCTTTGGCAGACGGTTTCAGTAGGTGTGTGGCTGTGTTGTCGCTCGGGAACCCTTCTCATCTGGTTGGTGACATCTCAACTACTGCTTGACTAACTCTTACACTCGAGCAAGTCCTCAATGATAAGAACAATAATTTTTTACGTCAATTTACAGGTATTTCTTGGACACTTGCGGTTGGTCTTCATAAAAGATTAGAAATTTTCGCCTTTTTAAGTAGTTTGCTGTTCTATTTCTAAAGATGCTAAATTAGGGCTTTTGTGGACACTTCATTATCAATTGAAATTTCTTTAAATTACGTTACATCAAAATGAAATTACGTTGGAGCAATACTATTCAGTTACTTTAGTATAAAAAAGTACATAGTTTGATTATTAAAGATTTACCATGTGTTCGGTTTAAAAGTTTTTTGTGAAACAATCTTCAATCGAGGAAATCGGCAATAGAGAATATTGCAACATACTACAATTTCTCCACCCGAAATCAATATTTAAACGCCCTGAGTAATCTAAGCGGACGTCAAAGCGTTAAAGCGACGAAATTGCCTTTCGATTTCGCAGCTCTAATAATGGAGGGCGGGGAAAACAGGCGTATATAAGGGCTATTTTATAACTTTAACAAGAAGTCTCACTGTACGTTGTCTACCCTGTGATTTGTGTGGAACGAGTTGGGTAGAAGTCCCAATGGCCACTGCGACAGACCTAATTACACCATTTATTTTTTTACTTTATATTTCTCGTATGAAAAAGTCGATTAAATAATTAGATGATGTCAAAAACTATGTGAAAAAAAAGAAACCCACGCACGGTCTCACTTAGTGCTCTTGCAAATCAGAGTTGAGCGTCACTGCGATCGAGACAAAAATGACGATAATCAAGCAACTTACATCAATGTTCTTAATTCACAAATAATCATACACTCCAAATATGTGAAGAAAACGAACATGGAGTACAATACGATTTATAGAATTAAAAAAATCTCCCAACTATTTAAGATCCCAAAATTGAAGAAATTTACTTTTCTCATTTTTTTTTTCAAACATCATTGGTCCTATAAAGAAATTCGTAGATTATGCAACTTTCTTTCATATAAGAAAATGTCGTTTTTCCTTTTAATATTTAGTGATATCGGTTTTCAATTTATAGGTAGGTATTTTATGTATGAATGTTTAACGTTTTCCTTTTTGTCAACAAGAATTGTTTCCTAATGAGTCATCTAGTGTGAAAGCACTTACTTTTTTATACAAAAAAAGATGTTGCGTAGTACGGTGTACTTGCCGATAGATGACGTTATAGTTAATATATGAGAATGATTTTTTATTTAATAAACTGACCCTTTATGACACGGATGGAAATAAATCACGTATGACAAAAGTAGGATCATTCACTATTTTATCTTTTCATGATACAAATGCTAATAGATTATCAAAATCTTGGCACGTGAATAAAAGCGATTAACATTAAGACGATGAAGAATAAATATAACTCAATTACTTTTCAAATCATTACAATACAAAAAAAATCAGCCCCCTAATTGAGCTCTAAATGTAATAAAATTATAATAGGTTATAAACATAATTTAAAAAATATTTAATCAATAAAACATTTTCAATAAAACATTTTTAAACATATACACAATAGACAACAGCCGTAAAAATACTTATTTCTCTATTAATTACAACGTATTTTTGACAATGAGACTATTAACTAATGACTATTTCCGGTTTGCTTAAAAGTGATTCACTTTATTATTTAGAAGAAATTAGTACCATAAACTGAGATGTATTGCAACTGCTAACTGGAGTGGAAAACATTTTAAAGAAAAAAGGTTACCATTACAATGGCAGCATTGTTCGTTTTCTATCTATGGCAACAAAGTAATGGCAATTTATTTGGTTTTAATGTCAGATTTTAAGGTTGGCAGTATTGCGTTGTCATTCGTTCTTTGCTATTATTCAGCTGTCAGTTTGTTTTTATATCAGGTTGAAAATAAGGATGACGAAAGCCGAAACATATGTCGATATTTATAAAAATATAAATATCGTCGACATATCGAAAAAAATATCGATATATCAGTAAAATTTTCGGTTTTAAATAAATTGTTTTTTTACGACCACTCAAAACAAATTTTTGAGAACATAACTATGGAAAAAAAGGTTCCCCAAATAATTGTTTCCAAGATTTAAACATTTTGTATAACATACAGATGAACGTTGAATGCAATCTGAAATCTGGCCTTAATAAAACTGTCATTTTTCCTCTAAACAGGCAGAAAGTACAGACTAACATCATGAATTTCTGTTATTGCAGTATTGCAAGCCATGGCCTAGAGCCGCAAATAAGAAAAGAGGCTGTTTAACCAGGTTAATTGATGTTAATATTTCTTAAGGACAAAGAAGCTAATCTAATAAATTGTTAAAAAACGCTTAAGAGTTCACGGAAGGATGAAAACAAAAAGACTAAAAGTTATAGAACAAAGTGAAGACGCATTTTCAGTTGAAATTCTTTGTGTAAATTTCAATTAAGTGCAAAGGGGATGGTTGATATTAGAATTAATGAAAACCAGTGGTATACAATTAAGGTTTATTGCGCTCAGCCTTGCTTCTGGGCCAACTCGCGCGCCCTAGCCTTCTCGAGCTTGGCGATGCGCGCGTTTGACTTGTTGCCGAGCACGCCACCGCCCCAGTGACGGCGGAGCTCCTCATAACGCTCATTGAAGTTGGTCCTGATTGCCTCCACCAGTTTGGAGAAGGCAGCTCTGTCTCCAGACTCCACCTTAGGCAAAATTTACTTGTTTAGACAGCATATCAATAATTGAGAGGTGCAGGATTTATAGGATATATTGGCATACTCAGATAATCTATATTGGTGGTAGAAAGGTTGTCCGCATGGCAGTTGGATAGCAAATACATCATCATTATATGCCAGTCTTAATTATATTCTATCTATATTGACAAGACATAATAAAAAATCCATTGAATATTTTAAAATATATTTTTGGGACACAGATTTACGCAACACTCTCTAGTCTCAAACTAAGCTAAGCGCCACAACAGGTCCTAGATAACTGATAAACATACTTTTCATGACACAGTATTTTTCCAGTTGTGGGGATCGAACCCACACCCTCTGGCACAAGAGGCAGGTTCACTACCCACTAAGCCAATCTTTTCGTCTAAATAAACATAAGCTGTGTGTTTTTAGTGATTCAACACTCCAAATCCTCAAACATAAGTTATATTTCAGAAGATGTATGTGAAAATTGTGATTTTTGGTTTTATAATTACAAAAATTCCATAAATAAGGAAATTTTCTTTAAGAAATACAATGGATATTTTAGAATGCTATTTCTTTTTGAATTATTATACACAAATGAGTTCAATTATAGTACATACATGAGTCAGCGCTAAGCAGGTGCAGGTCTTGCGATGAACAAGAGCTCCAAGGCGTGATTTTCCCTTGACAATGCAGTAAGGGACACCCATCTTACGGCAGAGGGCGGGCAGGAAGAGGACAAGCTGAACAAATCATCAGAAAAATCAATAAAATTTTAAGAGCATGTGATTTTGATTGCAAAATAAGATAGGAATGAGCTCAGAGTCAACAATCTTCATGCAGCTTGTGAATATGTAAAATCATCTCACAAGCCTCAGGTGAAGAAATTCTAACATCATTGATATTATAACATGAATTGTCATAATCATGAATTTGGCTTTTTAAAAAGAACATCATGAAACAGATTCTTTTTTATATTAATTCCATTACAACTATTAAAGATTGTTGTATGATTCAAATTATGTGATTTGCAAGAAAATTTTGTGCATTTTTCATGAATATGAATACAAATTTAAGAAGTTCAAAAAAATTCACATAAAAATTAACATTTATTTTTTTTAAATAAATTTATATTTTTATTAATAAATTAGTTTTTTTTATTTTAAACTCTCACTCACTCTCATGTGACGGACCAAAATGTTTAACGGTCATTAAAATACCAAGATAAAAATAAATAAATAAACAGTAATAAAGTCGGTAAACAAGATTTTTGAAGTAAGTGTAATTTAACATTTAGAGTATATGAGTTTCGTTTATTCTTGAAAACTATCATTGTTACTTACTAAAACGAAATAACATACCTCAATAGGGTCAACATCGTGTGCAATGACAACAAGCTGCGCCTTCTTTTTCTCAACAAGCTTGGTCACAGTGTTGGTTCCGGCTCGCACTGTGTTGGGCCTTTTCGCTGGTGGCTCATCTTTCTTAGCAACCTGGGGATAAAACTTGCTGTATAAATGCACAGGATAAGTGATAGTCAAGTTGTTGTTGATGAATGTTATCATCAGAGATCTTGGTGGTTAGAGGTCTTCATGGCCTTCTGAATATTTTTTTATGCATCATTTAGAAAAGTGAAGTTATTATCGTCAATGTTTTAAACACTTATTTTGATACAAGCAAGAGCTTTCAATAAGTCACACTAATATTATAAATGCTTAAATTTGATATTTTTGAGAGTATTACAAATGGAGGTAAGAATATTGTAAGATAGTTGTACCTATCTTTTTGAATATTCATGAACAAGCTTATTATCTACTATATACAGCTGGGTTAAAAGTGAAAGAGGAAATAGATTAGTAATAAAAATGCATTGAACATAATCTCAGACATATACCTTGGCTTCAGCAGCTTTTCTTAGACGCTCTTTCCTAACTGCTTCAGTCTCAGGCCTGTATTTTTCAAGGATCTTGAATAGACCTTTAGCTGGAAACCATAAAAATTAATGTTTTTACTTGTGGAAAAAGACCACATAAGAATAAATAAAATCAATTTGAATCAGAGTTAAAAAGCTCGTATATTTTTTGATAATCATTTTGATTCATAGTTGCATTTGATGTTCATCATTTTAATTCCCATTAATTACAAATTTTAATACTTTTACAGTAATTAGTAGCAATAAACAAAATAAATTGTTACAAAGTTTGCCTCCACGCTTTAGACACATTAAAAAATGTACTTCTTGCTAACCTGTAGTCTTATCAAGTGTCTGAGTGAACTGGTTGATTGGTGGCGGAACTTTCAAGCGACGCTGTAGTACTGCCTTTTGACGCTGAATGCGGATGTACTTGGGCCATCTCACAAAACGGGACAGATCACGAGTTGGCTGGATATCCTGGCCTGACGAATCGGTCATTTGTAATACATTTCAACACACACATTTCATCTAGACAGTTGTAATTATTTATTTACGTTTGAAAATTAAAAAAAAATAAATTTAGGTAAAATATTTTGAATTTACAAGTATCTCACTGTAATTCTTAATCATTATAATTTAGTTTTAGGACCAACATCAGAGTTAAAAAGCTCGTATTGTTAAATACCACATGGTTATTCAGTAATTTTTTTACATCATTTTGGTCCATTTCTTTAAGCATTAATATTAACAGACTACTACAATTAAACTTACCAATAGCGAAGTTCTTTGTTCTCTTCTCGAAAAGAGGGTTCACAATCTTTTTGGGTTCAACCTTTTTGACAACCAGAGGTGCCGCGGCAACCTTCTTTCCCACCTTCTTCTTAGGCTGTAATTTAATGCATGTAAAGGTTTGTAGGCAAAACCATGTGCTGCACTTCAGTTTTATAAAAACATAAAATTTATAACAATTACTTCTATTATAGATAAGAACTCAATACTGACAACATGGTCTCATAGAGGTTATATTTTTTTAAGTACTTAATGTATCCTGAATAAAAAGACTATGATTCATTTAAGGAACACTGATCATAATAAATAGGTATCCATTATTATTTACTTCCACTACGCACTAAAACAAGTTCTATACACATCATAGTTGAAGGCGATAAATAAATGTTTTACTTGAAGAAACAGTAAAATATAGTAATTTAATAAACGCACATGGTTTTTACCTTCTTCTGCACCATCTTGAATGAACTTTACTTAAATGATCTACAGGCCAGGCAAAGATACGTAACCTTAACAGAACACAGGACTTTCGGCAAAAATGGCCGAAGTAAAAAGATAGAGAAGGGATAAAACACACCGTCAAGCAGGTTCACAGATTAAAACTCCGTTTGGGAGATTTAGACAGATAACATATATAACAGCCGTTTTTCACTTTATTTAACACCAAAATGAAAACGTAACAATTGAATATATTTTTTACGTTAAATTGATCAGGTTTTTTATTTCCAAGCGACAAAATGTGTTCAAGGAAAAATTTTTTTTTTAAAACTGGCCAGCATTATGCAAATAGTTTTAGAGGAACCATTAGAATGTCTTATGGGGATTACTTTTTTTTAAATTTTATGTAAAAAAGTAAAGTAACAGCCTATACATGTCCTACTGCTGGGCAAAGGCCTCCTCTATACAGAGGGTATCAGGGCATAGTCCACCACGCGGCCCCACTGCGGATTGGCGGACTTCACATATCTACGAAATATATATTTTTTTCTTATTATTTCGAAAATATGCAGGTTTCCTCACGATGTTTTCCTTCACCGCGGAGCACGTGATAAGTCAGCACTTAAAGTTAAAAACTTCATTGGTGCCGGCACCGGGGATCGAACTCAGGTTGCTCGAGTATATTGAAATAAAGGCGAGCGCCCGGACACTGAGCTATCACGGCACTGCTGGGCAAAGTAAAGTAACAGCCTATACATGTCCCACTGCTGGGCAAAGGCCTCCTCTATACAGAGGGTATCAGGGCATAGTCCACCACGCGGCCCCACTGCGGATTGGCGGACTTCACATATCTACGAAATATATATTTTTTTGTTATTATTTCATTTTCCTCGAGTATATTGAAATAAAGGCGAGCGCCCGGACACTGAGCTATCACGGCATTGCTGGGCAAAGTAGAGTAACAGCCTATACATGTCCCACTGCTGGGCAAAGGCCTCCTCTATACAGAGGGTATGCACTCTTGAAATTATAAAAATGCAATATAACCTAACATACATTATACAATTCCTGTGGCAGGTTCATTGTGGCACGAAAGGTCAGTTCCATTTGGGGAAATAACACAACCTCACAAAAGACCGGCGTGAAGTAGAAGTGTCGGTCTTCTGCGGCTCGTCTGGTGGAACCCACTTATTAAAAGGTGACAACGAATCTGCAACCCTACAGGTGTTGCACATGTCCACAGATGGTGTTTATCACTTAACATCAGGTAAACCACTAGCTCGCTTACCAAATTCTAACATAAAAAGTTATACGAACTGTTATGTAATGGATTCTAATGGATTGACAAAAAAATTTTCAAACTTGTTATCAAAATGGAAGTTATTATAACTTTTATTAATTGTGGCATTAAGCTTTTTTCTTTTGAAAATGTCAGCTTAGTAGTGGTAACCGGTGGTTCGTGGTATACAGTAATAACTTTTTATTGTGTGAAGAATTGTCCAGCGAGCCACCGGTTAACCTGATATTAAATGAATATCGCCACATGGATATCTGTAACACCCTACGTTTTGCAGATGTGTTGACAACTTTACCCCAGTTACCTTACGCACCAGAAGAAACGCAAAAGTTTAATATTTTCATTTTACGCCGGTCTCCTGTGAGGCGGTGGTACTTCCCCTGACGAGCCTACCAATTAGTGTAACACAGCAGAAGCTATTGCGTGGCCCTAACACACTATTGCTTTGCAAACCTAATAGTTACTACTACCTAATAGGACTAGCACCAGACCAAACGCAAGAAGATCCTCTATTTAAAACCGGTCATGTGAAGTCCGCCAATCCGCAGTGGGGTCGCGTGGTGGATTATGCTCCGATACCTTCTATACTCTCTGTACAGAGGAGGCCTTTTCGCAGCAGTGGGAGATGTAGACGCTGTTACTTCACTTTTTTTCTTAGACATTGACAGAAAATTTGGCCTGTAACCATAATAGAGTAGACTATAATTTTTAAGGCCTCTTTTTATTCAATCAAATATCTGCGGGTAATAAACGTAGTGGACTATAAAATTACACTATGTGAAATTTAATTATACATCATTTTATCGTATCAATAAACTGAACTGTAATTTCCAAACAAATTGGAAAATAACGAGTGCTTTAAGGAAAATGGTGCCTAAAACGCTCTTTGTTATAAGTAAGTCATGTTTTTATTACAATAATATGGTTTCATAGTCTTGGTACATTAGTTTTTTCTTGTATTAAGAATATCTTAATTAATAAAAAAAAAACAGAGTCGTAAATTAAGGATAAGCTGGAAAATTCTGAAAATTCGGTTGATTTTAAAAAGTAATACAATTTCATAAAATACCCAGTACTAATTATATATTTATTTATTTGGTTACTTAAATTAAAATTATTATTTTTTCTACTTTTAGTCATAGTGGAATTTTCTGTGGCAGTAAAGGTAAATCTCCAAGGTCGAATTGCATTAGGTAAGGATGTTATGGATACCTTGTCTTATTTTATTGACCAAAGTTCAGGAAATAGCAGACGCATGATGTCTTTAGACCCGGAAAAGGATGTCATTGCAGGGATGGTAACATCAAAGCAATTGTGTGTTGATTTACAATTTTGTTCTGGACATTTAGAACACTTTGTTGACAACTATATTATATTATTAGCAAACGCTATTGAAAGCATTATTAAAACTTCATCTGCTAAAGAAACTTTTCAAAAATTTTATCCTGATAACGTCGATAAAATTTTACGAGATGTAAGAAAGATGCTTAAAAATGTTGATGGTAAAATAAGCGAAGATAAGAAATTTTATTATTGGAATAGCATCATCAAGAAAATTAGCGCTAAATTTCAATATTTAGTTACGTCTATAATCACCGACATACCTAAAAGCGACTTTAAGGATAATATTTCTGAAAGCAAGAGTCTAGTTCAAAAATTGATTACAGCAATAGTTGTCATTGAGCACAAATATGGTAACAAATTATGTGCAGAACACAAAATTTGTATCAAATCATTTGCATGCACTACAACATTGCACGATATATTAAATAAATTGATAAATTTGCCTGAAGGTAAAGTTAGGTATTTTATGAAAAATTTGTATGAAGCTTTATTCGCTACTACCTTTTATTCGAGTCTGAGTGGTGATACCGCTCAAGAGTTTCAAATTATTTTAAAAAATATGGCAATATCAAGCAAAGTGCCAACAAAAAGTTTGCTTGAATCTGTTGAAAAAACCGTTGAAACACGACTCGAATTAATCAAAAATCATAAAGACCTCCAATTGGGCTATGATGTTTTGTTAATTCACATGATTTTATCTGACATGGATCATTTTTATAGTACACATAAACAACAACCTTTACTAACATTTACAAGAAACTTCGAAGATTGGACGAGAAATAGTCATCTAGGTAAACACTTACGTGAAGCTGTGAAAGAAATAGGATATGAAGTATCGTCGCAATCAAAGGAAATGATTTTAAAACTGACAAATGAAGTTCGAGTGTTCCTAGAATTAACTGTTGATCCGGAGCAGTGATATGAAAATATATTTTTTGTTACTTGGCGATATTTATTTAAAGGCCCATATACAGCGTGTCGTTACCATCGCGACAATAAATGAACACACGTCTAACCATACTTGCCAATAATCAAAAAAATATTAACGTTAAACAAAATCCATAATTAAAAAAATATATTTTTCAAACAAACGAATTAAGTAAAAAAGAAACAAAATTTGTAACATCCTATACAACTCGCGCCACAGCGTCGTATTACAAGCCTCTCCTTCTAACAGTATGTTTTGTCTCTTTTAAAATTCTTTACGGCGCTTTTATAAGTAAAGTGTTTAAAAATTCTTTTTGGAAAATTTAAGAAACTCTGTAAATATGACGTTAAAGAATTTAAATGTTTCTATACAACTTTCAAAAAAGTTATCCCGTATATGTGTGTCATTCAACCCATTCATAAGCTTTGTGACCTTTACGGAAAATGCTTGAGTTGGAAATTCAGTTTTTATTAATCTTTAATCGTGGTCTGGACTTAAGAAGTTTAGATCGAGCGTAGGTTCAATTCAACACATTCTTTTCTGCTGCCTTTAGCACTCGTCTGGTGTCTGCACAAGATGCGAATCATGTTGTTATTGGTATTGGCTATCCTATCCTCTCCTATCGGCGCCACCAAGTTATAAACAAATATAAAGACAATTAAGGCCATCGGGTCTGTTTAATCCGGTTAGATCATACCAACTTTTAACATTTTAATAGGTTACTATATTTACGACATAGGAAACAAGTAGAAAACATTTTAAACATAAGCATTTGAAATATAAGTAGATAATAGATAGTTATGTATCCATTACGTTTAATTCATTTCAAAAATATAATAAGAATTAAATAATAGTAAAGTAATTTAGACTTTCATAAATAAAATATAGGTGGACGCAATTCAAGGTATTGGGTGATTGGGTCGCGTTTATAAAATTAGTTTGGATGTCGAAATAAAACAATCGGCGAATAAACAATTGGGGATGTGTTAAAAGTCGTGCTTAATTCCGTTTTACACTATCACAATGGCCGCGAAATTGGAGGATTCTAGTTATTAAAACGTTTCAAAACTATGTTGCGTAGTAATAGAAGGTAAAGTTTATATATTTTGCGCATTTAAGGAAAGAATTATTAACAATCAGTGCTGGTTAATGAGTGTAACACTAAACCAAACATGCAAACTGTAACGATATTATTCACTTTTCTTTTCGGGGTGAGTATTCGAAAGATATTGATAATAAGATCTTTAAATGTATCAAAATTGTTGTTTACCTTACTATCATTTTATTAGGCGCGTGTGTTTGTATGTGTTCCAATTAAAAAGAAGGTTTTTATTTTTACAGACCATGGGCATTTATTGCCTTCGTCCTTGCGAAACCTGCTTGTTGGAGCCAGTCGGTCCAGACATGGGAGCGCCTTGTCGGATCGCCCAATATCCTTGTCCTAACGTTTGCACTAATGTTTGTCCCAACGTTTGCACCAACACCTGCCAGTGCGGTATACCGCAGTGCGAGTGCTGCAGAGACATTGCCACCCCTTGCAAAGTTTGCCCACCGAAGCCATCACCAGTCTGCTCCTGCCTTGGCGCATGCGGGTGCGACTGCGAGCTCACCAAGGCGGCCCTTTATTTCCCCGAAGTCGAATATCCAGTGACTGTTTTGGATGTGAAACCGTCTTATTATGGCACGTGTTGGACCTGCTAATTAAAGACAATTAAAAGAAAATGTCTCATTGAATGTAACGATGACAGTTTCAGACTTCCAGAACATCAAAATTTTACATTAAATTAATCCTAGAAGTTTTATTGGGAACGTGTTTATATAAATTGAATGCTACTCAAATTTAAAGGTAATTGAGGTCTCTCAGCGTGGCAGTATGACTTTCCTGAGAAATGATTGACCTTTTAAATTATTTAACTTAAAGAAAATATAAAAATTTTGTAAAAGCGGCATCTATTGGCAACCTTACGTAGTATTAACTAGTATTATGGGCTGAGTAGGGATTGTAGATGTCTCTAGATGTCACTATACTATCCTTTACTTTGTGTATTGTTTGATATGTTAGATGTTTTGTAACCGTGTGGAATTCATTACTTTTACCTGAAAAACGTCCAGGCGGAAAAGGACGTTAAATTCCCGCCTGCATCGGAAATTGAATGTGTTTTTATTTTCAAATATTGATCAAAATTAAAGTTCTAGCCATAGAATCTTGCCTATTTTATAATAAAACAGTTAATGAGTATATAAATGATTGATTTTCGGATTTATGTAATAGTTATGGTTTCGATGTCTCTAATTCTTTAAATTGTGGTCAGACCTGTCTAGATATAGAGGTCACATCCGAATTTTCCTGTTTTTTTTATGAGCACCTACAACTTTTTATTAAGCGCAAATATGAATATTATTGCATGTTAAAACAGAAATACAAATCTGATGAGTGTAACGGTTATAACCTGGGAATCTGGAAGAATCACAACCAGGTGGTACAGCGCTGAAACACTGGCCAGTTTGTAATGTAAGAAAAAAAATCAAGTTTCCAATTTTTAGCTCATGCATATATTTTTAACCTTTAATCATATTTAAAGTTTTTTACAGTGCTAATCTCTGCACTTAAGATTGAACATTAAAACTTGTAGAAAAAGTACGAAAAGATTGTCGCCGCTGTGGGAATCGAACCCACGTTCGAAGTTATCGTTGTAAAACGATATTTGAAATTGTTTGTATGCTGGAAAGGATGTAACAATATATGCGCCAATCATTGCTTCAAATGCTAAATAACAATGTAGATAAAAGACGTTAATGATTTTCGTCGGTGTGAATTTTAAGAGCTGACTTATCACATGCTGAAAACATCGTGAGGAAACCTGCACATTCTCGAATTAATGACTAAAAATATTCCGAAGATATGTGCAGTCCGCCCATTAACAACTATTTGTGTGTTTGATAGTTTTTTACCGCGTAAAATTTATGTTTGTAAAACGTCCTTACAACATAGGATAGTGTTATCCTAAAAGGGAAATGTTTCCAATAAAAAGAAAAAAAAGAGCATATGTAAACGTCAGTACATAAATAATTGTGTACGTGCTTTTAAGTTTGTGAAACTTCCGGCGACAGAAGAATAATTATAATATTTAGCCCTCAAGATGGGTAAATAATTTTGTTGTCATTTTCTGGTATTATACTCTGCATTTTATACTGGTCTTGTCAAAAAAAAGAAAAACTGAATCGAATACTAAATACGCGTCGGTTGACGATTTGTAAAAGTGTGAACGGATAGTTCGAGAAGATTGATGATATTGTGATGGATGTTACGATAGGCCGCTCTTGATTCAATCACGGTTTCGCGGTTTCACGTTTTTATTGAAAAAAAAAATCATTCCTTTTTCGATTTATGACGCATATAAATATCCCGAACTTTGATGATGGAAAGCCTTTGGTGTGTTGTGAATTAAAAGTTAAACGAATAAATTGTGTTGTGAATTAAAGTTAAATAGAATTACTTATTTTTTTTTAACATAATTTGACAAAAAAATAAGAAAAATGTGTGTACAATACATTCAATTCGACTTGAAAGACCCTCGAGCGATCAATTCATTTCCAGAGTGTGTTATGATTCAAAAAATCACTAATACTTTTGTTGAGCCACGAATGTGAAACGTAAAGCGAAAAAGCCTACTAGGTATATCAGGGCATATGGTTATAGGGTTCCGTATCCAAAGGGTAAAACTGGACCCTATTACTAAGACTCCGTCGTCTGTCTGTCTGTACGTGTGTCAGCAGGCTGTATCTCATGAACCACGATAGTTAGACAGTTGAAATTTTCACAAATGAATGTTGCCGCTATGACAACAAATACTAAAGAACAGATTAAAAAAAACATGTAAGTGGGGCTCCCATACACAATAAATATGATTTTTTTTGCCGTTTTTATAGATAATGGGAAGCAACACTTCGTGCGCGTGTCCGACTCGCACTTGGCCGTTTTTTTATTTGAAACGTTGTCAAGCGAGCAGGCAGTTCATCTATAGTTAAGTGAATACCGCCACCCATTGACATAAACAACAACCCGAGGGCTTGCAGATTGAAAATAGTTAACTGTTTGAAAAAATTCTTAATGATATCGATAACAGCTCTTAAACAAATAAAAAAAATGTTTACTCATGTACGCGCATAAGACGTTATACTTTTGTAGCGTAACAAAATATAAATGACCAAATTCATATCCCGTGTGCCAGTACTCTTTGTTTGTGAAAAAGACATTAAATGCAATTGATAAAGGTTTAATTAAATAACTTGGAATTATAGATAAATGTCAAAAAGTAGTTGTTGGTATGCAATACCGAAGATGGTAGCTTTGCAACCAAATTCATGTTGCTTTTTGGGGGTGGGTGTGCGCATCGTAAAAATTTTACTTACATCATTATATCCAAACGAATCCATCATTATATCCGAACGTCAAAAGAAGTATAACTTCAAAAATTAAACGGTTGACAAACAGAGGGGCAAATGGTGCCAAAGTATTTTGGTCTATACCTTTATTATTTATGTACATTTATTCAGATACAGCTTTAGGTTAATGATTTCCCTTGTTAATTTTTTGTTTACCTTGCTAATGATTTTCCGACACGTGAACCAGCCAAAACATATCTCAGAATTAGAAGCTACGTAATGACAATTTAATCTATTAAAATATTGTAAAATATTAGATAGCGTTTTTGTTACTACTAGTTTTGACACTTGAACTTATGTTCTCTTCCCAAGTGAATTAAGGACTTAACATGTTTCCATATTTGACGTCACAAGGCCATGAAATATAAAGTGCTATTAATAGAACAATTAGAGGACGTTTAAAGTACATATATAATTATGTAGTTCATAGATGGTTGCACTGTACTACACAAACGCAGATTCATTAGACGGTTATTAAACAAATAATTTTGCAGACATTTAAAAGACATTTAAAAGTTTTACAAGAAAATTTATCTTTATCGTGGCAAACGTAATTTCGTAGCTTCTCAAGCAGTAAATTAGGACTTATGCGTTGAATATTTCAGACGCAGAGAGCGATGATATTTAAAATTTAAAGCAGGGTTAATATTTAATAATAATTTTGATAATTTTTTTGTCGTCACTAAATGGAATAAAGTACAGACAGAAAATAATTTGATTGAAATATATATAACTGTCCGTAGTTGTTGTTGGTTAGTGTGCCATAAATCCTAATTCAAAAAAACGAATTTAACAAGGCCCCATAAATTGTTACTTAGTTTCAGGTTCCAATAAGTTATGGCCTTCCCGACACATTTGTATGCAAATCTAGTACGGTACTCCGCTGTGGGTTGTGAAAACAAACGATATTTCGGCTGAACAGTTTAAGAATTGCAACAGACTATTCAAATAAATGATTTATTTTAGTTTTTAGTGCTAGTCTGTGCGCTCAAGATGAAAGTTGTGTGAGAAGTTTAGGTACATTTACGAAAAATATATTTTTTTCGTAAATTAATTACGATAAACTTGAGTCTTCCGAGCAACGCGTCTAGAGTTTTTATTATGAAATAAGTATTAAAAGTTTTTAATGAAGTCGAACTGGGGCTATAATGGCGGGTTATGGTTCAGTCAAGTTTAGAGTCTCGGGTTCATAATCACTGTCTTACGATTGTGGTCATATGACTGCTGTCGATAACGCGTTTTGCTTTGGGCTCCTCCGTGCAAGTGCCTATAAATGTCCCACAGCTGGGCAAACGCCTCCTCTGTATAGACGGTATTAGGACATAGTCCACCCGACCTCACTGCGGATTGGTGTACATACATACCTTCAAAATATTTTTTTGGTTATTATTTTGAAAATGTGCAGGTTTCCTTCACTGTTGATGACGACATAAATGAATCTCCTTGTACGCAATAAGAGTTTGAAGGCTTATTAAGGTAAACGCCGTATCTTGCACCATCTGCACCCGACGATGCTAGTTCCCACACGGCCAGTAAACAGACAGCAGACAAACCAATTTTTGAAGGTGCAACGTAGAATTTATGATCCATCCTGCATACAGTCCCGACCTGGCACCTTGTGACTTTTTTCTGTCTGTCTTTTTGTCTGTATAAGAGTTCTAACGATTTTCATATCCGGTATACAGTGTTGCCAGCGCCAACATCTGTCTGTTTCTTTGTTCGCGCGGTCAGCGATTTTCATCAATAGAAGAGGCTGTCGAAGAGAGTGGCACAAATGTTTTCAAAATTGGTTTAATCATATGAAAAAGTGCATTAACGCAAAGAATATTTTGAGAAACAACAAATTCATTTTTGACCTTTTTTGACTGATGTTAATCGAGTTATCGAAAACTCATTCTGATGCGCGTCAATTGCTTGTATCGTTATCAAAATCCGAACATATCTATGAACGATAATTAATTAAGAAATACTGTTATGATAATTTCTTGTATTTACGCGATTATACATTATAAACGAAACTAATTTTACGGATTTATCGCGTTTATTTTTAATTTTAATTTCCGACGTTTCGAACCACTGTTATATATATCTACTACCGAAATACTGTTATTTCACATAATAACGACGTAAAAACATGCTAGCGGTAGTAAATAGAAATATGTTTTAATCATTTTACCCGAGAGAGTAAACATGAATTCATTAAAGCGGTAATGGTCGTCCATAAATTCAGAAGACAGGCAAGTGCTCTTTAT